TATATTCGTTATCAGGACCTCAAATAACCCCTAAACGCAAGTTCTCAGCAAATTTGGTGAAAACACCCTTGGCGCCAATTGGTGCCAGCGCCAAAAATGAAGGTCATATTCGCTATCAGGGCATCGGATTACCCCTATAGACGAAGTTTCATCGAAAAATAAAATTTTGACTTTTTGTGGTTGTAATAGTGGAATAGTACCCGTCTTACTTGTGAATGGCAGGGTTTTCATAAATGGCACAGTCAAAAGTTCAATCTATTCGTCGTTAAAAGGAATTGTTCAAATCCAGATTGCCAAGTATTAAGCTTTCACACAGAGGATTTGGCTGCAAGATCATCGCAAACGAGCACATGTAGTAGGAAGTGTTTGGTTGGATCAGTGTACTCTGGACATTTGACGATCCAATGCATGTGGTTTTATTACTGGTCTAGTTGAATACTAACTTGAAGCATTCGAGCTCTCGAGGCAGTTGACATATTTAAAGTGACCGTACTGCCTCTGCACGCTTTCACGGTTTTTGGGGAGCATTATTCATGAGTGCATTCGAGATCACCGAAATCCAGAAGAGTTCTAAAAGAGGTGTAAGGCTACCTGCGGAATTCGCTCTTCTCGTCTCTTTCAAAGGAGTATGAGAGACAGTGGCTGCCGTGGAAGTCTGCCGTGGCCTCAACGCATTTCTGCTTGTCATCCTGAAACGATGTATTGTAACTATCCAAATATGATTACTAACTACCTTTAAAAACAAAGAAAAATGGCAAAATGTCTTCAATAACAAACAAATATACCAAATATCAAAATTGTAAACAAAAACAAAATTCATCAATTGGCGGTAAAACGTGGCGGTGAGACTCCACGCGATATTACGGCAACATGACCCTACAGTATCCCGCGAAAATTAGTGCTATCGCAGAGACGGTTAGACCCTTGTTCTACATATTTACCCGCATTCAAAAGATCTTCAATTCATTGAATTAGCAAGCTATGCACACTGCATGTGCTATTTACCACAATACATAAAGTTTTTATTTTTGACTGAAATGATGGGTTGTAATAAGGAAAACGGTGCTTACCCTGTGCTGGAAGTCGTGGTAAGAAAGTAAGTTGGAAACAGCTTTAGGAAGTAACTGTGGGTTTGTTATGATATGGTTATTTATTGTTGTTATTTCTAATTATTGTATGGCGAAGGTATAAAATTTTGTGCAAGAAATAAGCTCAATGCATACAATTTTCACAGTTTTTTTAATTAACTGCCTGAGTTGGTCCCTTAGAGTGTTGTATCCATGAAAATTTGTTTACTGCAAACTTTGCATAGTCAGTACGTGAACAATCAACAAGAAGCTACAGGCGCTTGTCATTTTGTCATTATCTCTCATAGCAGCTCCCATGACAACAACAGAATGGCTATTTATGTATTTAGTTGTATTATTCAGGTAGTTATACTAGGAAAAGGTCACTATGAACGGGCAACAATCACTTTATTTATTATCTATTTATTTATTTATCAACGGACATGCCAGTAGGCATGTGGAACAATTATGTTAGTAACAATACACTACCAAGCTTTACCTTCATATTTGGTCTGAAAGTTTGCTCTAAAAGCCTATGTTAGCAAGATTAACAAAATCGTATCCCAGGCAAGTCCTAGGCAAATGCAATATTGATTATAAACTTTTCCAAACGTTCTGCTCTTTGCAGAGCAATTTCTGTATTATACATTCGAGCATACGCGGACGACTACAACTGGCAATGAAGTCTCCGCTGCATAGGATGTAGGAAGAATGGGAAGACCGTCAGCATAGCGGTGCAACTTCATTTCAGGATAAAGTTGAGCGCAGGTCAGAAACGGCAGTAACCTCGCAGGCGATCCCGTGCTGCTTCCGCACATATGCATCTCATGGAAGAATGCCCAGGATATAGTCACAAGGGCTTTTTATAAGGTGAGAACATAAGTAAGTTACATATGTCAAGGTGAGAACATAAGTAAGCTACATATGTCCAACAAGAACAGCCATTGGTGTTTAGGCATGTCACGACATGACTAAAGATTTTTATTTTGCCCACATGCGAGCAGGACAAATTTACCGGAACTCGGGAGAAGAGGTGGATAACAGTGAAGGCGTAGGTAGGCTTTTTTTCTATTCCAGTACAGTTTTAAAGTGCGACATTCAGGTGAGGCAGAACGAGAGGGCATGCTGCACTACCTCTGTAGAAATGGATGTGATTCGAGCCGCGCTATCAGGAGGTAAACCAAGTCAAACCACTTGATGCAAAAATTCACATGTTAAGTCCAACACGATTCAGGGCTTTTTCTAAATTTCACAGGTCCCGTATCACATTGGAGGCAGTGCCGAGGCAATTCGCAATTCTTCCAGACGGCGCTCCTTTTCTGCAGTACTTTACTGCTGAAACGCACATATATCACTTCGACGCGATAATAAAGGTATGAATTAGCAGCTAACCCTTTTCAGGCACTTGAATGATCCCTTCAATTTCAGAAAGTCTGCAGGATTGGTTTGCATGTTTTGGTGGGAGACGGTGTCCGCGACTTTCACCCGGATGCCACCAATGCGAATGGACAACTGTACACCATCGACGGGGTCATGGCGAACTCCGTGGATGTGCCACTGATGTTCGCCATCACGACACGGTATGGCGTACGCTGAACTGAATTAGCTCATTTTCAAACTGCTAATACTTGCGTTGTTCCAGGAAAAATCAGTGCGTGTGCGAGCGCATCTTCGGGAAGCCTAAAAAGCGATTGAGGCAGCCGGCGAAAGGAGCAACATCAGGCTTCTACTCGACTACGAAAAAGCCGCTGTCAACGCCGTGAAGAAGAGCTTTCCAAGCGCATCATCAGAGGGGAGCGCTTCTCATCTGGCGCAAGTCTGGAACTGGAGAAGAGATGCGTTTGGATTGCGCCAACAGGTAAGAGGATCCCACCGTTGCAGATCCACTCAGAAGTGGTGGCATACAATCAAAGGTTTGCCGTTTCTGCAGTTGCACAGAAAGGTCTCGGCACTTCATCGGCCTTCTGCCCCCAGAGAAAATGGGGCTTACGATAAGTGCTCTACGATAAGCGCTCTTCATTTTTAGACTGTTTGAGAAAATATCTGTATGAGGAAGCTTCCAGGAGATATGTGGAACAAGTGGGGTGTGTCGATCCTGCGGACCACAAATGCGGAATCGTTCAATAGGTTTGTTCCATTCAAATGCGGCTCCCTACTTGCTTGCTGACTCATGTAATTTCTTTCAGGCTTCTGGGAAAGCTCAAGCAGATAAAATGCCCTCGCATGAGTGATCTCCTACGAGCCTTACAGGGACCGTGACGACTTACAGGGACCATGACGAGGATTCCTGCTCAACATCGAAAGGGTTAGTTTGCGTTGTTCACTCTATCAGCGGTAGCAATAAAATTTCTATTTGCAGAAAAGAATGGATCCGAGGTCATTGCGGCGGAGGGACAGACTTCGAAGACACGACGAAAGGGAAATGGCCAGATTCAAGGAACTTCTGAGCCGCACATGAAGTTCTCACCACAAGAACCATTAGACGTACTGAAGGCGCATGGCGCGCTTTGTTTTAGAGAAGGTGGTTTTGAGGTTCGTTCTTTCGCTTTACTGTTGCTTTACTTTATGTTTTTGCCTTTGTTTTGATTACGGTGTGTGTGCCTTGTTGATGTGTCTTTATTTATCTAGTTCGTTGGTATCGTCGTCTACGGCGACGATCCCCACAACTATCTCGTCATCTCACTCTGAGACTGCTCACCCTAGCTAAACCCACGCCCCTAAATGGTGCGGGGTCAAACGGCCCCGAGACAAGTGGGTTCCTCGTTCTACCTCTAACAACGTCAAGGGCAAGACGTAGGTTTTGCTGTTTGAAAAAGGTCTGTTTACTATTAGTTCGTGTTTCACTAGCGGTAACATCCGCACTTGTTACGCCACTTGTTGTATTTTTACTCCGTTACTATCGGAGTTATATGAAACCACTGAACCCCAGCACATTTCGGTGCATCGGCTAAAATAGTCGTATATCTACTAAGCAAAAAAAACAAATCTCTTTTAAATAGAATCGAAGGTGGTTCTATACTTTTGAAGCCGATCAAAAACAGAATCGAATGAGGTTCTGTAACATAAAAAGAATAGAACGAGGTTCTAGCATAATTTTACAATTAATAGTATGTACGTAGTATGTATGTAGTTTGTAAATAGTAATAACAAGTAAATTTAAATATCACAAAGCAATGGCACTTTCATTCCATAGAAAGCCCATTCTCTCGAACATCGACACCTTAAAGAACTTAGAAACACGCTGCGGAGCCTATACTGCTAGGGTCGAATACCCTACTTCAGATAAGGAATCCTACGAAAAATGTAGGTCCACCATTGCGCTCTTACAAAGCGGCGCTAGATTACTAAAAGAGGGGCAAGAAGAGCCAGCTTCAATGAGATAAAGGAAGAGTATTAATCATGCAAGAATAAGTCTGATAGAAAGGACCTACTGCTCGAAATAGAGCTAATCGAGGAAGAATCGAATATGCACTCGATAATGACCGATGCGGACGAGCTCGGTTGCATGCTCGAGGCACGATTAGAGGAGATGAGAAGTGCCCTAGATAGAGTGGCAATTGACCTAGGCTACATTTCGCGCAATGCCCAAAACTTGCAATTGATTGATGTAGAAGAGAAGGAGTCTATAAATGCTAATCCCAAAGAAAACTCGAGAAGGAATACCGAGATCATTTCGGAAAGTGGCTCCCAACCATGCACTACGGTTCAGGGAAATAGTGCGCAAACAATCCCGCAAAAAAACCTGTCGCTCCGTAAAGCCTCCCAATGTGTCGCTACCGAAATTTCACGGTAGTGCTGAAGATTTCCCAGGATACTGGGCAATCTTCGAGACACTCGTCCATAATAGCTCCGACTTGGACACTATGGAGAAGATACTCCTACTGAAGGGGAGTCTGGTGGGAAAGGCTCAAAACTCGATCAAGTGCATAAGGCTAGTTCCAGACAACTATAACTGGATAATCGAAACCCTACACAAAATCTATCATAATAATTCCGCAAACAGAGCGCAAATCGTACAAAAGCTGATTAATATGAAACCTGTTACTAATACGGCCGAAAGTTGTTCAACAGTTTTCGACAACATTCAGGTGTTAGTGCACCGAATGTTCTCCGCAGGATATGACGTGCGGAGAACATGCGAGCAAATATGGTACGAAACCATACTGGCAAAGTTTCCACGGAACATTGTAAAGCCCGTTTTTAAGTGGTCAATCAAAAGACCAACAAATAATCAAGGGCCTGATGGCCGAATCCCGTAACACAACCTTCTTCCTACACATTTACTGCACCCGTAACACAACCTTCTTTCTACACGTTTACTGCACCCGTACAGCCTTCTCAAATGCAGCTGAATTCCGTAACACAGCAATCGCTCTGCACGTTTCCTGCACCAACGCAGCCTCTCCCAATAGAGCTGAACACACGATCTCCCTTAGAATCGCTTCCACATTCTGTGGTGCACTTCTTTTTAAGCCGGTTGAGCCAGTTTCAGCAGAATTCACCTTTGACGAGTCGCATCCAGGGCGGTTTATGGGAGAGAGGCAGGCAAGTAAGAAAAATAAAAGTAGGATTTTGATCTACAGAATCCCAGGTACAGAATATGCATATAGTTTTGAGAGGGTGCGCATGAACAAAAGTGAAGAAGTTTTTTGTTGCTTTCAGTGCAGAAGGGAGAACGAAAGACATGGAATTAAATCAATGGAACCTGCCATTGAAGTAAATAATGAGATTTCGCTTTAATTTTCAGTGTAGAGCTTGAATGAGATCACTACATTATCGACATTCAGGTCATTGGCGATGAGTTTATGAGTGATCCGTGCACTCTGGCCCATGAATGTAGCCCTGCGAAATATGTAGGAGAAAGGGGAACGAGGGCAGTCTACGAGGTATGTTTAGGCATTTGTGGAAATAAAGGCTTAGTTCACTAGGTGTCTTTTCCGGACTTCAAAAGATAAGGGAGGACCCCAGTTACGCCGAAAAACAACCTGTTAAAGTTTTCATAGAACTCATTGCAAAAAATAGAGATCTAGAGAACGGCAACACACTACACCTAGTATTTCATGGCCACCGTTTCACTTTGGCAGAATGTGCAGTAGGGATTGCGGACTGAAACATGGCGGCAATTCGCAAAGCAGTTATAGGTCTAGAAGGCGAGCTATACAAAAGAACATAAATCTATGGCAAAACCGCTCTGTAACGATTGAGAACGTTCCGGAAGAATTTCGCATCCTTCAAGATGGTTGTTTTGCTGTTTTTGCAAGTGCAGGAGACAGGGTTTCACTTCTACTACTCAGCGAAAACCATCCACGTATAGGTAGCAGATGTATAATAGTAGCCGCTTTGAAGGAAAACTTCTATGATGCTTCTAGATGGCGTGCGAAAATGGCCTTCACGCGATCGTAGCTGATGGAGTGCATTCCCTGCACCCGAAATGTTTGGGAAGTTATGCGCAGTTGTATTCTCTCCATGAAGTATGCAGCCATGGAGAAGAAGTTCCGTTACTGTTCTGCATAACTGAGAAAAAAACGCGCGAGATGTACAAGAAAATGTTCGAGCAGTTGAAGCGGAACATCGAAGTAGTATGTATGTAATCGAAGAAGAAGGACCTCAGCGCGTAGTGCTCGATTTCGAAAAAGCAGCCATACAAGCTGCTGAACTCGTGTTTCCGAACGCTACTGTCGAAGGGTGCGCATTCCACCTTGCGCAAGCTTAGAACTGCAAAAGGGATTCCTTAGCACTTCGGAAACACATTCAAGGGCGCTCAAGAGATGATCGCATCGTAAAGTGGTGGCAAACGATCGAAGGTAGTTAAAGTTTCAGTTTTTATTAATACATACACAAAATGTATTTTTTGCAGGGATAATATTTCCTCCGGCTGAGCTCCTCTCTAGTACAAGCACTTCAGAGGCCTCCTGTGCCCCGCGACAATGTCGCGTACGGCAAATGCCAGGAGTTCCTTGACTACATGAAAAGCAACTGGATGAGTGGGTCACTCAAAGATCTGTAGTGTAAATGGAAGCTCAAGGAGTTGAGAACTACTAATCTCGCTAAAGCTTTTCACAGTTATACTACTCCTTGAAAAGCCGAGATTCCGAGAAATTCAAGTTGTTCCAGGCGGTTACAAGTTCTGGCAGGTGTCGATCATCCACCACTGAACACTCTGATCGACGTTATGAGGGATCTAAATTATGAAGCAAAGGCTGCACTTATACGTCTTAAGGAAGTAAAGATTTCGGTAATCGGAACCGGACCTTCACTCAAATTACGGGACGAAATTTCATCGAGAATTCAATTTCAGAATCCAGGAGCCAGATCTTAGCAAAGGAATTACCAGCAGAGGGAAGAAAAGATCTACGAGGAAATGGAGAGGTGGGATATTTCGAAAAGTTTCCTCCTATTTCGACCGTATGTAATATTTTACATTTTCTTAGTTTTGATGAATTTCAACAGCAAGGAGCAAGCCGCCAGGAAATACAAGGCTTTTGTATAAAGATGTCCAGATTCGTAACAAACAAAACTATCTAAGTTTTTTTACTTACAAATTCTTATTACTATTGAACTGAACCGTTTCCTCCCATATCACACAAACTTTATCCTCAAAATATATTGAATTTATTTATTATGCGTGTAAATAAAACTCTCAAAACCGTTGAAATTGATATTGGAACCTTTTCTTTGAAAAAAAGAACATTTTCTAATAGAATTTCCAATTTTTTTTTCATTGTCATTATCCTCCTTAAATGACAACTTTTAACTCGATTAGTAGCGAGTGCGGACAGCGTGATTACCGCGAAGTCTTCGCACCTAATTGAGCCCACTCCGCGCCTAGGTCCTCGAGGACTGCCGCCCAGGTACGGGTACGAGAATTAATTTTCGATTACACCTAATCAAGCTCGCCTAAAATTTATTCCCGTACCCGTGCCTCGCCTAGGCGAGCTAGATCAGGTGCAATCGAAAATTATTCCCGTACCCGTACCTGAGCGGCAGTCGCAAACGCAACGCGCCGGACAGATGAACTAACGGACGTTGAAGTCTGAAAGCGTCCAATGGGTCACGTGTGAATCGCTCCCGTAACTACTCATCCGTTACCTGCAGTACTGCCCTCCATCACTGGAGGGCAGTACTGCAGGTAACGGATGAGTAGTTACGATCGGCGATGCGATCGGCTGCTCTCCAGAACTCTCGTTAGAAGTATTGTATATGATATGTCCTCTATACGACACTATGTATCTTTATATACGATTTTTAGGTTTTAATTGCTTTGACTGGGTAAATTTCACTGTTAGCTCATTCACCTAAACTTTTTAAGGTTTGAGTCGGTTTCGTAACGTCAACACTGCGAAACATAACCAAGTAAGCGAACTAGTTCGAAGAGCAGTTTGAAGGCATGGTGACCATTGAAATCGTTTCTGAGATTCCTACCTGATGAATCTGTGTTCCCTAAGGGTAGCACATGGGACGCAGTTGGGTCAAAAAACGGCTTGAGTAGGGCGTAAACAGAGCCACAAAATCAGCTCAGCCGATGTAAGTACCCAAAGACGGTTGAGTCACAGCGTTGTAGAGGCTATAAAGGTTACATCATTCACACTGGCGGGAGTATGTTGCAAGCACGCAGCTTATAGTGGCTACCCATAGACAATAACACACCCGTTCCGACAGCTCGTCCAAACACCCTTTCTATACAACTTTCATCGTCACATTTTCGTCCAACCTCTGCTACTTTTTTTGAAGTCTCATAAATCTCTACACCCGTCGAATTTCTTCACGATTTTTGATTCTTGCACAATCCTGGACTGTCGCTCCAATTATTCGGCTTAAAACAGATACTCCAAAATTATCGTGAACCGTGCCTCTACAAAAAATTCAAAGAATGGCATCAGAGGATATTTTCAAGAAGGGAGTACCTTCTCTGAGAGATGTACCAACTGTTCGCAGGTAATTCATACCTTCATGGAGAAATCATAGACAAGTTGATTACACAGAATTGTGTGTGAAGTCGAAAGATATAATCTTTATGTAGGCTTTGTTGCTACTGTTGACCGAAGGATTTCACACTAATTCAGTTGGAAATGTTGATTTCTTCGAACTCTCTTCCACGCTGATCCTCTTCATCACCATTCGCCCTGAAAACCGTCCATGTGTAAAAAAATACTTGGTCTGGACGGCCCTGATTGTTACCTTCAAATTAAGAAGACAGAAGGATAGCCCACACATTTTTTTATGATTATGGCTAGTTAGGGGCTGCGAGCCAGGGTGAAACATGAGTTAGCGATGAATGGCACTGTCAGTATGACCTTTCAACTTTATTCCTGCGGTTCCACCTCCCCCGGTGGTACTCGTAGCACTCTCCTGACCCTATCCTTAGGTGAGATTCCCCTTGTGAATATCGCTTGTCTCACTTAGTGATGTCACATCTATGGATGCCAACTAACTAATGTCCCATTCCTCCTCAGGTTACATCTACTAGGCACATACGTCCCTCTGTGCATCACAAATTAATCTGTCATAGGAACATTAGGTCCTACGGTATAGTAATCACATGATGAGTTTCTTTTGATATTTTAGTGTGCCCCTGTTAGTGATATCACCGGTGCCCTTTGCCAATGTAAGACCAGCCACCAGGACAGGATAGTACAGAATCTAATTGGTGCGATAACTGATTTCGTCTTATAAGTATTCATCAACAATTATCATAATGTATCGTATGTTCACCCATGACACCCCACCCCCTCTTCCGCGCAATAAATTAGCCTACTATTA